CTAGATGTTCTTTTATGCGGACACAAAGTGGTCTACCCGTTTCCCCGATATATTCCTCGCCGCATGCATTACATGAGATCGAGTATATTATACCTAAACTCATGCAATCCCCGTCTCTCCCATTAGGACAGATCATACAGTTTTCTGAGCTGCACAAACGATCATAGAGACGGTTTCGAACTAACTGGCGGCGTAGGGTATTCGGTGGGATGTCAACAATCGTTACATAATTTTCAAGACCACTTTTTCTTAAGCACTTTTTAATGGCGTGACTTACTTCATTTGATATGAAGGGCAGCTTAAAGGGGATCTTACTTCCATCTGAAATATTATTTTTGGGAAACTACCCAATGTTTTCCTCTAACCCGAGTGGCAAAACTCTTGAGGCGTTCTGAATAAATTTCAAAAATCCAAAGATGAGCCGGAAGGACGAATGCCTCACTATCACGCGTGACATGGCGCCCTGTTTCAAAATGATATTTTTGACCCCGGGGCGTGTCTTGCTAGCGTGAGCTACGTGTGGGCCAGTCCCGCACGTAACATCACGGTGAGTGGCCTTTCTGTTCAATATGGCGTCTATTTGAAAGTTTGATCTTCATTAATACTTTAACCTTCTTTTCCACCGAATAATAAAAAGTATTCTAACATAAAGTACGTCCAGGCTCTGAGGAAGGCGAAGTCGCCGAAACGTCAGCCATCGATCAATAACATCAAAAACAACGACAACGACAACGAAGACTTGTACCAACCTCGCGTCAGCTTAAGAAGATCAGTTTATAAGATCACATAAATAAAAAGGAAATACCTAATTTGATGTGAACGAGTGCCGGTAGAGCAAGACATACATATCTGCATAGTCGATGGCGAAAGAGTACTGTGAGGTTTTCTAGAGGTCTACCGAAATTCACTGAGTTCAACCACTGTTCTGGTCGGACAGGCGGATTCGGTAGACGTAGTCAAAGAGCTTTGCTTACAAATTTCCATCTTCTTCATCTTACGTGCGATTCACTTACATTCCATGTAGTCCGTTTGTCTGCGTCTACGAAAGTAGTTGCTCCAAAGTTTTTGTCAGCCTTTCCATAGTGCAAATTCGCTTTGGAAGCTGGATCCTTAAAGTGCTGACGTTTAAGAAAACGTAGCATCGAGATTGTATGAGTTGTATTGTAAATGTAAAGAGAAAACCATAGTAACTTACAGGTTTAAATGGATAAAAAGGGTAAAGGATAAAGCTGTTGGCGTTGATCAATCCCTGAGGAATGCGTCATCCATTCCACTTCATTAAGCATCGGTAGAGGTGATTGAATGCATACCTGGCCTTTACAATGACTCGCTGTGACCTGCCGATGTATCGAGCCAGTTCTGCTAACCTTCTAGACAAGTCTGGTACCGGATGGGTTGAAGGCTTTGTGGGCCATGTGTGCAGGGGTCAATTCCACGTGTGTTGCAGGGCACCTCCGACCACTGCGCCACACGCGCCCCCTACAGATTTAAATGATGAATGTATAACCAACACGCCACATTTTTTAATGTTGCAACGAACAACAGTAGTGAAATACACTATAATAACTTGAGATTATTCCGACATACCTCATCGGAATCTGATTTGTCCTCATCCTTCTTCGTATCATCCGTTTCGGTGCCCGTACTAGATTTCTTTCCTTTTGCTCCAGCGGCAGTATCCGTGTCTGAGGTCCCCGGCTAAATAAAAGCTAAGATAGTAAATTTGAACTATGACGAATGCCAAGTCAGGTTCAAACCCCAAATGCATAGCAATTACGGTCTTGTGGTCACTATCATAGGCCCATACTAACGATTTCAGTTATCTACGTATAACCACAATGGTGCTGAGATACTTGCAATACTTGGACTGCAGACCATATCGAACAACGATTAGCCTTTCCGGATGGTCCCGTGTTACACACTACACCATTGAAACCCTTTCCTTGCCTTCCTCTCAACTAGTGTTCTACCTAATGGTGCCATCACCAATCGGTTGCCAACGGGTTTGATCTGGAGAGCACAAATCGGCATTGGACCCAGTTAAGCTGCGGCTGTAGTCAAAACCATGATGTTAACCTCTTCCACCTTTTTTTTTATTTGCTGTTTGCTATAATTTTCCACGGCAAAGTATGATGTGAAATACAACCGTAATGATGCTGAGATATTTGCAAAATTCCGGACCGCAGGTGTCTGCGGTGGGGAACGAAGTCCCTTTCCGCGGACTATCGCCTTGAGCACCACACCATGCGGGTCTTTCGTTTTGCCTGTCTCTCAGCTCAGCTCCTAACGATCCGTGCCATCAGCAGTCAACCATCAGCGAGATTGATCTGGGGACCACGAATCGGCATTGAACTCAGTTAGGCTGAGGCTGTAGTCGAAATCATAATGTTAACTTTTTTCTTTTTTTTTCTTTTTTTCTATTTGCTGCCTGCTATAATTTTTCACCACAAGATATGATGTGAAATGCAACCACAATAATCCCGAGATATTTGCAAAATTTGGACACCAGGCCAGACCGAACCACGATTACGCTTTCCGGGAGCTCGCTTGTTACCCACTGCTTCACTGAGACCATTGATTTGCCATCTACATGTAAATCGTACTTCAACATTATGTTTCCATATAAAATAGACATCGTTTTCAATTCCCCGATTGAGGAATTAGGCAGCGATTATATAGTAGATGTTTCCAATAATTCAGCCTTGTGTACGCCATAACACGAACATCTGCGGATTCCGCGAAAAGCCTCGCTCCACTAGCATTCAACATCAATCAGGAGCGAAGACAACGGATGAGCAAGCAACGGCCGAATCCACATGTGAATCTGAACACCTTGCTATGAATGACAAATGCAACATATCGAAACTAATTTTAGAACAGCTGAGATGCGTAGCACATCTGGAGTGAGGTGTCGCCTAACTACTATTGGGCAGCATACCACTGTAAGCAGCAGTGACCCCCAGAAATGGCAATAGCGAGTTCGATCTCCACCGCAGGCACCTGTGGTTAGAAGTTTTACAAGTACCTTAGCATCATTGAAGTTATATTTCATTCATACCCCGCCATGAAAAAGAATAAGCAGGAAATAAAAAGTGATTACTAAAAGAAGCGTTAGCAGCCAACGGATGATGTTTAGGCATTACTCCTCGACAAGCGGCAGTTATACAAAACTTCCATAGTGATCATTTCGCCATGTTTCTTAAGACATTTCTTAACAGGTAGGGATGCGAGTAGAGCAATGACTAAAGACATCGTGTTTTACACACAATATAGCCCCTGGCTCAATTCTGCCTTATGCCTGTGATTTTTCCTGCCTGACTACGCTAAGGACTCGAGAAGACTTTAGCACAGCTATTCTTGAGTTCTTGGATTTGCTCAACCATAAATGAACGGTATTTATGAAGAAGGTGAAATCTTTACTAACAAATTCGAGGCAGCAAAGCAAACGAAAAAATTGTTGGGACTTGCATAATTTGTGATGAATAGTCATATTTTTTTCTTATTTTATTTGATCAGTCTTCAGGTCTTCTTTGCGGATCCCAGCAATTCTCCCATTCGATTCGTTTCTTCGCGTGCATTATCCACGAACTTTTGCGTGTAGCTTCGGTTGCTGCTTGAGGATTTCCATTTTATCTTGAATGTTGCAGAATGCTGGTCGAGTAATTCTCCCTTGAGACCTGAGATACCCGGGCTGGAGCGTTTGGAATTGGATTGAAGAGTGTTATTTTTTCCCAGATAGATCCGGTACCAATTTCCCGATCTTGGAGGGATGAGAGGCTTGGTTGGCCCGGAGCGAATCGAACTAGCACCATGCTCGTGATGACGGACATCACTACTACTGTACCCTCCGCCCTTGACTAGTCATATTTGATAAAACAAAAAAATAGAGATTTTCCAACGCATAGTGAAGATATGTGTCATATATCAGATGTACTGCCCGTCTTTTTCATAATTCCAATCCATCAACACTTTCATCTAAATATCATAACAATGATCCTACAGGTATCAGATATACAGATAACGTTCTTGTCTATCTTCATGCAACTACTGGACAATACCGTTAGCTGTGTGGTGAATAACGGAAGATTATATGAATTCTCATCATCGGCTACGACAACGAAGTGAGTGTAAGTGACCTGCTGCACGAGTGGCTCCTCCTCAGCGCCCTGAGGTTCCGGAATGAGGCCAGCGGTGGCGTTCTTCAGCAGTTTCCTGCCAACTGTGCTCTTAATCTTCCGCATGATCGTTACGGTGTGAAATCAACTCGAAAACTGAACCCTACCACTGTAGTATTCTTTGGTTTCTTTTAAAAATGGTTCGTCACAACGGACACGTTATTCACGTTAGGATTACAGCGCTTTGGTTGATTAGATAACGCGTGGAGGTTAACTCATCGCTCACCCTTCGTCACCCCTGCTTTCAATTCGTAATTATTCCTAGCTTCTTCTTTCTAAGTCAGACAGAAAACTAAGGAAATGGTAGTGCTAAAACATATCGATTTTGCCGTTGAATTCTTAAGAAAACACTTTTACAATGTTTGAATTAACTTATTAGGGGCGGATAGTACAGTGCTAGTGATGTCCGTCATCATGAGCATGGTGCTAGTTCGATTCCGCTCCGGGTCAACTAGATCTCATTCCTCTAGAGTCGGGAAATTGGTAACTGACCTATCTGGGAAAAATCACTCTGCAATCAATTGGGAACGCTCTAGCCTGGCTATCTCAGGACTCCAACCAGAAGTGCCCGACCAGCATTCTACGATATTCAAGATGAAATGAAAATTCTCAAGCAGCAACCGAACCCACACGTAAAAACTTGGAAGACCGTCGTGGACGTTGGATGCGAGGAAACGAAATGGATGTGAGAAGTGCTGGGATCCGCATAGTAGACGTGAAGACGAATCAAATAAAATAAAATAAAAAATAAACGTTAATTTATTAGAATATCAAGGAAACAATATCGTCTTGCATTACTAAAAAGGAAATGGAATTGAAAAAAACGAACTCTAGCAAGGTTGCTTTCTGTGAACTGACAAAATTTACTCGAACTCAAAAGAAAGCGGTTGTTGGTTCCATCACGTGCCTAGGGCCAACCAAACACTTCATCAGCCTAGGTTCGACAAACTACTACCAGACTTGCTTGAAAAGCTAGCACTAGTGACTGAATATATCAGGAAGCTTTCGCAGGTCGTTGTATGGGTTAACTGTGTATTCATCACTTTCACTGCGATGGTTCTCGAAGTGGAATGCCCCTGATGGAACCATCTCAGGGATATTTCGAAACCGACTTTCCTTGAACCTCGGTGTGACTAATCAATATGTATTCTTTCTTGATAAGCTTGCACGAGGTTGATAAATATATTTATTTTCGGCTAACGTTTCGACGTCTTCGTCTTCCTCAGAGCCGATGATCCGAGTCGATGGTCCATGCTTGTTGTTCGTCTCGACGTTGCAGCGCAAGCTTATCAAGAAAGAATACATATTGATTAGTTCAATGACACCGAGGTTCAAGGAAAGTCGGTTTCGAAATATTACTACGCTTTGTGTTAGTTGATAAAAACACCGACTTCTGCACGATGTGCGCAATGATGTCCGGAAGAAATACAAGTTGTTACCACCGGACATTATCATTATACATACACCATCAGCATCGTGTATAAAAGAAAAGGGCATCACTGAGTAAGGATGCCTCATTCGAGAAGATGGCTCACTGAGGAAGACCTGGCTCGACACGAAGGCGAAGCTGCAACGTCGAGACGAACAACAAGCATGGACCATCGACTCGGATCATCGGCTCTGAGGAAGACGAAGACGTCGAAACGTTAGCCGAAAATAAACATAATTATCAACCTCGTGTAAGCTCATCAAGAAAGAATACATCTTAGGGATGTTGTGAGTGAGCGGTCCTGGACCTCAGATTATGCTGTACATCTGCGACTTTTATTTGCAGCGCCTTCTGGTTGGGAATTACGATATTCCAACTATAAGTGTAGATGTACCAATTTTTTATACTTTGTAACTTCAACCGATCATCTCGTCATATTCTCTCGGAAGTAAACAAAAGAGCTATAAAACGTACTTTTGCGCTGGTCTTCAAAAATCTCACGATGATCTTTCGAATATATTCCTTTGGAAACGTTCCCTATCAGGAACATGATCCATTCGGTTCGCATCGTGATCGGTAACAATAGCGGATTTGTTCAGAACGATTATGCTAACCGGATAAGTACAGCGTTGGTGACAACTAAGCGAATACCATTGTATTAGTTGGAGATTGATTCATCTCGACACTAGCGATAGTATATACTTACTTGATACTTGAACGGCCCGTCATCACTAGTTGTGCGGACCCCAACATAATCACCATTTTTTGGAGATTTGCTGGTTAAGCCTTTGTGGTTCCTTGGAATCCCGAGGTCAGCCTGGCCAAACTCTGCCCCAGGTCGCCACCACGACAGGCGGTCGCAGCCCTGTGGATCAGAGGGAGATTTACCACCGTACGACTTTGATACCACCGCTGTATATCGCAGTCCGACACCCAGGAACACGTCCCAGCCATGATGAGGCGGTAAAGCGTTGGGGGAACGATAGTATATCCCGAAAATGATTTTCAAAAACTAACGTCTAGAGCTCAGGAACTCTGCTTAACGCTTTTGCGACGAAAATGGCTCTTCGGTAGCCAACGATAACTCTTCAGTCACTAGAGTGTATCCGCACTTCAGAAGTTCATAGATTTATAAACGATGCTGATCTATCGCTTTCATTGTAGATCTAATTTTTCCTCCACGGAGTCCGCTCAAATTCGAATATGTTTAGAGTTGAAACTTTCGAAAAGTTGTTGACGAAAGTTATGTTTTTACAATTTCCAACCGATGAGCCACAGCTGAAAACGTGAGGGACTCACTGGGAAAACCATCGCCTCCTGCGAAACGAAATATCAGTTAAATGTTGAGATAACGGAAAAGCATCTTGAGGATGCTTCACTTTATCGCCCATCATCTAAGAAGGAGTTTAAAAGTAAATACCGAAAATTGAACCACGAATGGGTCAAAATGGCAAACTAAGAGTTGACTTACCAAAATTTTCCGTCTTGTACTTGCGTATAAAAACTCATAAGTTAGTATCCAACGATGATCTTGCGTCTACCGATCCATCATTGCTTAAGGTTAGACCTATCTGTAGATATCACTAGCTGTGTAGACGGGCCAACGGATAGGATAACGTAGTTTTTAACCCTAATATTTACCCAGTTGTCCAAACACATTACAACCCATCTTACGAATATCCAAATGTTTTTGGATCGTCTGCGCACTGCGCAGCCCAACAGCTCATACGTGATGGGTTGGCAATGGGACAACGACTGGCACCAAGTCTTGCCATTGCATTCATGTCTAAGGTGGAAGCACCGGTGGCCGATCTCAGGCCGCTACTCTACTGTAGATATATAGATGACTGCCACGACCGACTTTCTATTAACCTCGGCATTGATCAAGTGATTTTCTTCGTATTTTTGTTGAGTAACACCTCGCGTTTGCTCAACAAAAATACGAAGAAAATATAGATGACTGTTTTGTCGTTTGCTCAACACAAGAGGAAGAGGAAATGGACAAATGCTTCAAGTTGTTGAATAAACAGTCAGAGTATAACAAGTTCACCCGAGAGAAACCGAAAGAAAACTGGTTTCCATTCCTGAACGTCCAAATTAACCTGTCAAAAAATGGCTACATTACAAGGTGGTACCGAAAGCCAATTAGTAAGAACATTTTGGTTCATTACCTCTCCTCCCACCCTTCTCACACGAAAAGGGCGCTTGTAAGAAACATGTTTCGAAGAGCAACCAACGTATGTACGGGAAGAGGGCAGAGAGAGGAGTCCCAGAACTTGGCGCAGCAAATAGCCATTTTTAATGGCTACGAAACTGTGGCTCAGGATAGGTGTAGGAAGAATCCTAGGCCACCAAACGACAACTCTAGCGATAGAAGGGTTCCGCTTAACCTACCCTTCATCTCAAATGATGTAAGTACAGCTATAAAGCGCTGCTTAAGAAGGGCGGGTTTAGAAAATTCGGTAAACGTAGTTGAAATACCACCGAGTAATCTTAAGTGCCAACTAGTTCGTAGCCGCCTATATGACCGTCTATGTGCAACTCAAAATTGCATAATTTGCCCCAGTGGTAGAGACGGTGATTGCATGAACTCGGGTATAGTTTATCTGATCTCCTGTAAGACGTGCAAAGACGAATACATTGCCGAAACGGGCAGATCCCTCTGTGTCCGCATAAAAGAACAACTAGCCGGCAAACGTCAGCTAAATACCCCACTAGGCACGCGTAAGACCCAGAGGCATAACGGGGAGGACTTTGAAGTACGTGTCACGATCCTTGCACAAGAATCGAGAACACAAGCGCGCAAAACTCTCGAGGCACTCTGGATTAATTCCAGAAATCTGAAGATGAACCGCAAGGAAGAATGTCTCATTATCACGCGTGATATTGGACAGTATATAAACCTGTTATTCTGATGGGAGGGGCACATTACGCTTCCATGTGAATTCTCTGCGGTTGGTCCTCACGCGACATACTAAGTGGAAAACTCATAGACGCGGTGAGTGTGGAAAGTTGTGTTCAATGTGATTGAAATCTTGGTTTAGCGTTTTTTTTTCGTTTGGTTATGGTGGTGCTTGGCCGAATAGATTACTGTCAACTTGGCCTTTCCAGGCTCTGAGGAAGGCGAAATCCGGCGAACAGATCGTTCTTGAATAAAGGATAAAATAACACCTCGCGTTTGCTCAACAAGAATACGAAGAAATACCGCTTGTTCAAGTGCTTTCATGTTCAGAAGAGGAGTGTTGCTGTGAAAAAAGCGAAGCGATAACTTTAACGGGTTACAGAAAACCAGAGGTTTCTTTTAAAGGAAACGATAGCTTGTATCTTGTAGAAAATGATCTGCGCGATCAAATGGTTTCGATTCCAACCAAAAGAATTTAATATGGGGTGGGATATGCTGATTTAGACGTTAAAGCGGCCAATATTATGGCGCCGTACCATCCCTATAGAGGTCATTTTATACGATCCCACCCGATCTTTCTTTAATTTGGGAAGCCTTAGCAAATGCTTTAATGAAAAAAATATTTGGGAACTTGCTGCATTTTATTACGCTGTCAACGGAAACTCCATAGACTTTAGGTGTGTAAGAAGCTGTAGGCTCCAGTTACCTATTTGGTTACTTGAATGGCCCATCTTCACTGGTTATGTGGGCTCCAGGATTGCATTTAGCAAATGAATTGTAGTGAAGGACTAAGGAAAAGCCATATTTTAGGGCTCTGCAAAGCCTCAGCCCCACCAGCTCAGCTCTTCATCTATCGAAGCTCTATCGCTTTCTCGTGGGAGGAACCCCCACCGCTTCCACACAGCCCGGATACGGTCCACCTTTTCGGTATCCGTGGGGCCCGCGGTGGGCAGTACCTCAAAGGTCGCGGTGATGCAAGCGCTTGCTGGTCCCAACTGGAGTTCGGCTCCTGTGCCAACGAAGTGCAGCCGTTGCGGAAGGCGGTTCGTTTTCATGTCTTCCGCTCCGCGTTATCTATCGATCAGTCCTGTTTAGCATTTCCCGGCGAAGTGCTGCGTTCAGCTTTATATCCTCTTCATCTCTGTTGTATATAGACCGTGATGGGATGGGTAGTAATACCATGATAGACATTGAGGCTCTAGGTGCCGTTGTCTTCGACTCCGGTGCTGATTCGTGTGCAAAGGGCGATTTGCTCAGTGACGGTCTGTCGATCCTCTTTCTTGTCCAGCGATAAGTCGTTCTGTTGTGATGTTTTTTTTCCAGTGTTTGATTCCGTAAACATCAGTGATTGCGATGGTAGCGATAGTGATCTGGGCGACTTTACAGATGAAATCAGAGGTTTGCGTTACGATTTTTCGGCATTACCACATAAAAAAGACGCCTTCTTGTTTAGATTTTACAAAAAAGTACAACGCATTTCGTAATCACGAGCTCGGACCGAACAGCAGACATACCTCAGGCGTTCTGAGTGGGTGACTATGTTCCATGCTTCTCTGAAATTCCTTACGAAAACGACCTTAAGTGTTATGTGAAATTTGGAAGACTGTTTACAGAGCCGTACGATATCTCTGGTTTATTTAACACTTCTTTAAGTAAATATATTGATTCCAATGCTTGTGTGCCTGGAAACAGTTGGAAACAGTTGTGTCTCTCAATTTTAAACAATTGGATCTCAGGTTATAGTGAATCCTATTGAAGATCTCTGGTAGCAGATCCCAACTTCCTATTCCACATCGATAAATTTATGATTTTCTGGGACCGATGAGACGTACTCTTCCACTTTTTATCGTCCAACTTTTTAATCGTAGCGTCAAAGTAACCACATTAGTCCGTGAGTTCGTGACACGGGACATTTTGACGGTCCTGCAATGGGTCCTTATGATCTGCGATTCATGAGCTTGTATTAAAAGTTCTGTGTATACATATATAAACTTGTCTCGGTCGTTTCAAAGTTGCAGATTTGAACAAAGTTGGAATTAAAATGTAGTTCTAACGGCAGAACTCGTGTGGCGAATGTGTTAAGGTTCTGTGGAATCCAGTGCTGATGCGGCGATGCAAAAGAAAATGAGGCGTGTTAAGGACCGAGCGGATAGAGCAACAGTAGAACAGGTACTAATTCTATACATGTTCACATAATCTTTTCTTTTATGAAAGAGCTGGTGTGACGCAGTGCCGAGGTGCCTTGCAACACACACGTGGAATCGATCCTCGCCCCCATGGCCCACTTTCATCTCTCCGGGGTCGGCAAATTGGTACCAGAGTTGTCTGGGAGGATGGCGGCACTGGGTCAATACATCGTTAGGCCACTGCGACTCATTGTAAAGGCCAGATATGCATTCAGTCACCTCCATACGATGCTTAACGAAGTCGAATGCATGGCGCATCTTTCAGGGATTGATCAACGCCGAGAGCTTTGTCATTTTCTATCCTTATGATCTTTTCTTTGTTAAACGTAAATTTCAGTGACTGCGCCAAGTTCATATTGCGTTGCAGGTACTCGATCCAAGAACAAGATTAGTTCTTTTTCGTCTTCTACAACGTGGAACTTTGACTAACATACATGGATGTATCTCAACTGGGAAGGAAGCGAACGTCTATCACGCTAAGGATGGCAGTACTTCTTTTGCAGTGAAAGTCTACAAAACAAGTATCCTCACTTTCAAAGATCGTGAGCGCTATGTCACCGGTGAATACAGGTAAGGATCATATGGTTATTATAAAATGTTTCTAAAAGGTTACATCTAAATAAAGGAACGATAATCTTCCACTAAGTGTAATTATTCTAGATATCGTACAGGCTACTGCAAACATAATCCGCGTAAAATGGTGGCACTTTGGGCTGAAAAAGAAATGCGAAACCTCTTGCGAATGCATGAAGCTGGTCTTCCAGTTCCAAAACCTGTACTGTTAAAGGTTGCTATTTCTACTTTTAAGTTTTTATAGGTCGAAATCCGAAAATTATTCTTAAGCGTGGTTTAGGGCCATGTCTTGGTTATGGAATTCATCGGTCATGATGGCTGGCCTGCTCCACTATTAAAAAATGCGACTCTAACTCTTGAGGTCCTTATTGAGCATAATTATCAGATCTGTTTTTTCAGCAGAAGTCGAGTAGTCGCAGTCCCATTCTGCAGTTCGTATCCAGTACTCTTATGTAGTTTAGGTAGCGGATTCGTTGTATCTACAACTAGTTCGTGACATGCGGACGTTATACCGTACCTGTAAGTTGGTTCATGCTGATCTTTCGGAGTACAACATTCTCGTTCTGGATGATCGCCTATATATTATTGATGTATCACAATCGGTAGAGCATGATCATCCGTACTCTCTACACTTCTTGAGACTAGATTGTAATAATGTCAACAAGTTTTTCAGGTATTCTTTTTAAAGTGTTTCAGTTCCGTACTCCACTAAGAGATTCATGATATGTAAAATGTTGGTTGCAGGAATCTATCTGTTTCTGTGCTTCCTACCTGTAAACTATTTGAGTTGATCGTCGACCCTTTAGTCACTAACAGAGACGTCGAAACATGGCTTGGGATGAGGTATCATTTGCACTGGAAACAAGAAGGTAGACAGTAGTGTCGACAGCGGAAATTATTGTTTTCAGAACTTTAGATACGTCTGATGACATGTTGTTTATGAATGCATTTATACCTCAGAAACTCGATCATGTGTTACATTTTGAGAGGGATAGTACACTGTTGAGAACCGGACAAGAAACGAATAATCCGTTTCAAAACATCGTTTCCAAAGTAGGTGTTGTTCAATCATGATGCCTTTTCGTATTTGTATCCGCTATGGGCAGATTTGAATTCAGGTTGACGTGTTGGGAGAAGGTTTTGTTAGAGGCAGTGATCCAGGTCTTGAATATGTTCTGCATGGTGAAGATTCTGAAATTGATGAAGTTGTTACAAAGGAGCGAAACAAAGTAGTAATCAACAAGTACTTCAGGTAATGTAAATTTGGGAATCTTATCTTTTTGAAGCAGTATAATTTCAATTTTTCATGTTTTGTGTTAGAAACTTATGGGTCTGTTGCTTTAGTAATTGTCAACCTATTTTTACGTGCAGCGAAACATGTTATTTCTGTGTAGTGCGAGTTACATCGTTTACCTCGGATACATGGCTATGTTTCACATATAGCGAGACGCATTTGAAGCTGATATAAAAACGAAAAAGATCTCGGAGCTGATCAATCCCTGAGGCATGCGCCATGCGTTCCACCTCATTAAACATCGTTGGAGATGACTGAATGCATATATGGTCTTTACAATGTTTAACGGTGTTCTACCGATGTATCGAGCCAGTGCTGCTGTCTTTTCCCATACCAGTCATACCAATTTGCCGACCCCGAAGCGATGGAAGGGTTGAGATGAGCGTTGAGTGGGGAGATCGATCTCATGTGTATTGCAAGACGCCTTCGACCTCTACGCTACACGCGCCGTGAATTTAAAGTATCCAGGAAGTAATACTCTTTGTATGTATGTTTAATCCTGCAAAAATCGGTTCCAGCTGTGCAGAACAACTACAACACCTGAAAACTAAAACTTCGTCGTATCCTTCTACGTGTTTATTCTTACGCAATTTTTTTGTTATTTCACTTAAGATCCTGATCGGTCTTCCATTTAAAATACCAATTTCAATTTTTTATGTATTCTTTCTTTGACGAGCTTACACGAGGTTGATAATGACGTTTATTTTCGGCTAAAGTTTCAACGTCTTCGTCTTCCTCAGAGCCGATGATCCGAGTCGATGGTCCTCGCTTGTTATTCGTCTCGACGTGGCAGCTTCGCCTTCGTGTCGAGTCAGGTCTCCTTCAGTGAGCCATCTCCTCGAATGATGCATCCTCACTCAGTGATGCCCTTTTATACACGATGCTGATGGTCGATAATGATAATGTCCGGTGATAACAACTAGTTTTTCTTCCAGTCATACATCATCGCGCACATCGTGCAGAAGTCGGTGTTGTGTTTTAAGCGTTAATCTATCCTTGAAAGATGCTCTACGCAGTCGACTTAATCATTCACATCATTAGATGTAATTGCACACTTCCCCTATACAGCGGCTCCAATTTTTTTTGTTTTTCTGGTTTTGGCCTTCATTTTATTGTCATAAAGTTTTTGTTTTCATGTATCTTTTTCCGTACCTCTAAGTGCTCTTCATTTCGTTTTAATCTTTCCAGGGACAAATCGGAAACACCTGAGCAGCGAAAAGCAAGGAAGCAAGCGATAAAGGAAGAACAAAGAGAGAATAGGAAGACGAAAACACCAAAGCATGTGAAGAAGCGTGCGCATAGGCAGCACATGAAGTAGTTCATGAGGTCAGAAAAGACCAAGGTGTTGAGGTACCTGTTTCACTATGGAAATTTACTTCCGATTTTAATTGTGTGTATTGCAAAGCGTTGCTTCCGCATCGTCTACTAAATAAATGTTTTGTCTTCTTTCTTTCCGTCCAAAATTTCTTCTTGTTTCCTTTTTTAAGTGTTATGTTGCTTCCAAAAGCGACGTTATCTACAGACTGTAAGGTTATCTAACCCGTGAAATTTCGTCTTGTTTGCTGGCACTTCTATTTGGGATCTAGATTTCAATTTACACTGGTGGCATTACCAATTCTGTGCTCCCTTGTTACCGCTGCCCGTTGTTATTATGTGTTTTTTCGTTTTATTGTTATTGTTATGGTATCCATGAGTTATAAGTTTATGCACCTCTTTTCTTCGACATAAACTGTTGCCTCATAGTTGTGACACCTTTTAATCCTAGCTAATTCAAACAGTGACCGTGAGGACGGTTCTATACTAGGTTGTTGTACTCTTAACATACCTGTATACCAGCCATTTGCGTGCGCTTCTATTCTTTCTTGTTTTCTGTTTCGGTCGACATGGACACATCGATTCGAACAGTGCTGCCTCCTAAACCAAGAAAGCTTCATGAAAGGGCAGATGAGGTGTTTATTACTATTACGTCGTAGTGTGCTGTAGTGGTAGAGTTTTTCGTTGGAGCACTTGAAGTAGTGCAGTCTGTTTCCTATTAACTAGGTACGTCGTCGGAAGGAGGCTGCCGAACGTGTGATCAAGGAGAGGCATGAAGCTGTTAGACGTCAACGTGAGGAAAGAATTATGAAGATAAACGAAGAGCGTCTTCGACAACAGAGAGAATTGTATGTTTTCATTTTACCATCTAGTCAGTGTTTTTGTCCTTTTTTCCTTTGCAACAGTAATGTTTGGTCTTTCGTTTTTGAAACATCGAGGTAGTACTTTTGTATTAAAGACAACCTTCTTGTTTGAGGAGTAACTCCAAAGTATTTATTTCTACTTCACATAGACGTAGCAAAACATGATGTGGGATGCGTAACACTACCTTAATCCGGTTTGGTGTTTCGCGTTCGTCCTTTACGGAGGTTCTTTTGGATTTACATCTGAACGACTGCTGCTGGAGGGTTTGTTCCCTTCCATGAACGCCGTTGAATGTTGGTCAAGTTGATTCCCTTTGGAATCCTGAGGAACCTGTGCTTCTTTTTTACTTTATGCAATCATTGCCGGCTAATTCGATAGTGGACGGTTCTATTCTCCTGACCTTACACTCGCTGTTATTACAAATGTAGTAGTTCGAATCATAAACTTTGGTAGTTGGAAGTCTATATAAGCAATGTTAACACAAGAATAACGACATAACCAGTATCAACTGTCACTCCGTTGATTTTCGGGTGACTCGAGCGGGTTCTAGTAAATCTTCCAATCTAAATCTTCCTTATCACCGTGTTGGGTGCACGAGTAGCTCAGTGCTTTCTAATCGCTCCAAGGACTCGTTGGGCACCATATTATTCTTCCAGGGTTTTCTTTAAGAGCTCTGACCATCGGATCGTTGGTCTTTCTGCTGTGCGTTTTACATCCCGAGGAATCCAGTCGCTAGCGGTTATTGTCCGTTGGCTTTCGTTCATACGCATTACATGTCATGACTGACCCAATCTTTGACCATTTGGGGTGTAAAACTACATCTGTGCTCATGTACTCGTAGTGGTGAAAGCATTTTTAGCAGTGGTCTGGTTATTAAAGATTCTTCAACTAGTAGATTTCGAAATTGTTTGGAAAAAGGTAGCAGTTGATTTGGAGAAGGTCCGACGGGTATGGAATGCAGAGTTTCGCAATTCTTTCGACTTATATGTCGTTGGCTGTACAACGTATAGTCGAGCGTGGTCCTGGTACAAAATTTGATAACCTTTTCTGCTGGTTATATACGCCACAGTTTTGTCAGTTTTCATCTACTTCGTCACAGTACTTCTCTGTTGTCATTTTTTCCAGAGTTTATGACGTTGTGTTCAATTAGTAGCGCTATAGGCCACCAAAATCACTAATTTTTTGCTACGAAAGGAGCTTTGAGACGAGCTTGGTTTAGCCATCCACTCTACTGAATGTTGTTATTTACATGCAGCAACCACTTTTCATCGTCTTTCTAGATTCCACTGAAAATGGGTCATTTTGTTGCATAGTGAACTGTAGAGAAGACTTTATGATGAGTCTATAGATTGCTTGTCTCGAGAATATTATTCCATTCAGTCTAAAATTGTTTTGAATTGAGTTGGACAAAAAATGTCATAGGTCAAATTGTTGGGAAAGAATTGATAATTGGAACTATATACACCTGTACAATTGATTATTATAAAATGTGTTCATCACAGTCGTAAAATTGGTAACATCAAAAGCAATTTTGTTTCTTAACTAAGTCTAATAGAAGACATGATTTCATACAGATACATCATCATTATATTTTAAGTAACGAGTTTTAGAAAGGAGAGACATGCTAAAGAACTTAAAAGGCAACAAGATGTTTTGCAACGACGAATGGCTTTGATGGAACGCGACAACGCTCGTAAAAAGGTCGATCACTCACCGATCGTGAGATTTTTGCTTGGCTTTTTTCGAATGTGTGTTGTACTTGTGGTGGTTTTAGGAAATTCTGGAGAAGAATCATGCTGCTGCGTCACGCCTTGTCAACACCCCATCACGGAAAAAGTACGCCTTTGGCTCATCGACACCTCGTGAGCTGTCGTTCGTTGAGTGTAAACAACCGAAAAACCAAGAAAAACACCTATTGCGTGAAAAACAGGTGAATTTCGTTGATATCCTAGACAGTACGAAATTCTTAGTTGGCATTTAGCTCTTATGAAGGAGCATTTTGAAACTCATTGCTTTTAGCTACTATCCAATAGTATGATTCATGGACAACATAGTCGTTCAGCGAATTCAGAATTGTCTACTTCAATGTATGTACCTTCCGATAGTAGTCGCCAAAGCAATTCGAAGCTTCGACTCCCGCAATCGAAAGTAATCTTTTTTTTTCATATTTAGTACTATTTAGACTAACCTCTGAGTAGTGGTCGTAATTCACCTTCCTTCATCGTCCTTTATTTATCTGTCGACTAGATACCTATTACTATTCCTAGCTGTGATTTTCTTCGTATTTTTGTTGAGCAAACGCGAGGTGTTACTATTCTCCGTTCACGATTAAGCTGACGTTTCGGCGGATTTCGCCTTCTTCAGAGCCTGGAAAGGTCAAGTTGATAGCAATCCACTCGGCCAGACGCCTCCATAACCAAACAAAGAAACTCCAAACCAAGATTTCAATCACATTGAACACAACTTTCCACACTCACCGCGTTTATGAGGTTTCCACTAAGTATGTCACGTAGAGACCAACCGCACAGAAATCACGTGGAAGTATAATGTGCCCCTCACATCAGAAAAGCAGTTTTATACACTGCCCTATATCACGCGTGATAGTGAGGCATTCTTCCCTGCGGTTCATTTTCGGATTTCTGGAATTAATCCAGAGTGCCTCGAGAGTTTTTCGCGCCCGTGTTCTTGATTCGGGTACGAGGATCGTGACACATACTTCGAAGTCGTCCCCGTTATGTCTCTGGGTCTTACGCGTGCCTAGTGGGGTATTTGGCTGACGTTTGCCGGCTAGGTGTTCTTTCATGCGGACACAGAGGGGTCTACCCGTTTCGCCAATGTATTCGTCACCACACATCTTACAGGAGATCAGATAAACTATACCCGAGCTCATGCAATCACCGTCTCTACCACTGGGGCAAATTATGCAATTTTGAATTGCACATAGACGGTCATATAGGCGGTTACGAACTAGCTGGCGCTTAAGATTACTCGGNGGCTAGGTGTTCTTTCATGCGGACACAGAGGGGTCTACCCGTTTCGCCAATGTATTCGTCACCACACATCTTACAGGAGATCAGATAAACTATACCCGACCTCATGCAATCACCGTCTCTACCACTGGGGCAAATTATGCAATTTTGAATTGCACATAGACGGTCATATAGGCGGTTACGAACTAGCTGGCGCTTAAGATTACTCGGATTACTCGATTAAGATTACTCGCATTGTTTTGTGTTTTTCTATGGAAGTAAATGTATGCTGTTTAAAAACCTCGCGATTGCTGAACAAGAAAACGACGCATTTTTCACTTATTTGCCAGCCGGAAGGGAAGAGTGCCTCACTATCACGCGTGATATAGGGCAGTGTATGAAACTGCTTTTCTGATGTGAGGGGCACATTATACTTCCACGTGATTTCTGTGCGGTTGGTCTCTACGTGACATACTTAGTGGAAACCTCACATGATGAGTGGGGCGCATTAATACTTCCACGTGATTTCTGTGCGGTTGGTCTCTACGTGACATACTTAGTGGAAACCTCATAGAAAGCGGTGAGTGTGCAGGGCTGTGTTCAAGGTGATTGAAATCTTGGTTTGGAATTTGTTTGGTTATGGAGGCGTCTGGCCGAGTGGATTGCTATCAACTTGACCTTTCCAGGCTCTGAAGAAGGCGAAATCCGCCGAAACGTCAGCTTAATCGTGAACGGAGAATAGTAACACCTCGCGTTTGCTCAACAAAAATACGAAGAAAATCACTTGATCAATGCCGAGGTTAATAGAAAGTCGTTCGTGGCAGTTATTCCTAGCTGTGTTAGCTGTAATGAAGCAAAAGTCGCTCCGATGTGCAATGGACTGCAACTACTTGTGGTAAAGACCTGGCAACGTCTCAGCGTGTTCTTGGGTTAACATTTCATCTGCATCCAACGTACCGATAAGGGGAGAGGAATCTAGGTCCTCAAATAGTAACTGACCTCGTTTATATCCGACCACTTACGTTTTAACTACTCGCCTCCATAGAAATATCGAACATTTTCTCCGTATTTCTCGGCTCCAGGTCTTCGATCCTGAAAAATTCCGCTATACATATCATTTCGACACCCAAAACACCACAACTTCCTAAAATTACGACCAACCAGTGAAATTTATATGTTCGTAACTCGTATTACCTGTTTCCCTACTGATCTTCAAGTCACTCGCCCTCCAAGTCTGTGTTTACCCCGTTCGCATGTAGAAGTAGACCAATAGGTCATGCTCGCGCTAAGGGCTTGCTAACCACATTTTTATTTTCAAGGTCTTCAAGAGTTTTGGTCATTAGGCTGGTGATCTTCCTGCTGCACGTCGAACATCTTTTGAGAACCAGTAGTTAACAGTTCTGTCCACCAGTTTTCTTAAACATTTAATAACCAAAGACACTGGTGATTTCATCGATGGTATTTTAACTCTCTGGTGCCAGATTTACTACTCTTCACCGTGCATGCCAATAATGGCGCACTGGTTGTAAAAAGATGACTCGCGGTGGGCTCCCGATATCGAGTCAGTGATGCTAACCTCTAAAACAATTTGTACGAGTTAGCCGACCTCAGTAGAAGGAAGACTTTGTGAGCTCAGTAGGATTGAACCAAGTCAATGTTAGGATTTTTACCTTTCAGTTCATTAAAGGGTGGTTCATTATAGGGTGAACATATTTCCAGTTTTTCATTTTTTTTTCCCATTTCATATGTGCAGCGATGCAGATACTCCCACTTCTTTCACGAACAAATTGATTTGTCAGAACACATTGTGATCAGTATTGTTTCAGTTAGCCGTAACGAAATCGCAGAATCTTATGACTCAATCAGTATTCAGTCCTTCCACGAAACTGTCTGTAACCCCCACAGCGCGTTTACAGAGGAAGCGGCTCAATCAGCTTACGACTAGTGTTTCTAATTCCCCTCTAGGTCAGCTTGTTCTCGCTTGAAAATTTGAAACTTTACTGTATATTAGTGTGGTTGTGTACATAATTCTAGCTATCACTATATATATATATATATATATATATATATATGCGTCTATATGTATATTCCAGCTAATTCCTGTGAATCTCCGGAGGTTCAAGCAAAATTGTCGAAAGCAAAGGAGTCGAATTTCAAGCCAAAGTTGAAATCTNTCTCTATATATATATATATATATATATATATATATGCGTCTATATGTATATTCCAGCTAATTCCTGTGAATCTCCGGAGGTTCAAGCAAAATTGTCGAAAGCAAAGGAGTCGAATTTCAAGCCAAAGTTGAAATCTGGTGTTTTAGTAAGTTCTAGTAATTGATTCATTTATTTGTTATGTATTAAGAGCTTCATAAACGTTAAAAAATGAGTTAATAGTCATCGGCGGCCGCGTGGGAGAAAGGCTGGTTTTCCGCCGTCTGTGTGTGAAAAATTTGTCGGCCATGGCACCCTACCAAGGATCCTCAAAATTATGTACTTGACAAACCTTTTTGTCTGGTTGACCTTAGTATTTGAGGGTAAAACCTTTTATGAAAACTACCATGTATAGATGCGCGTGTTGTGCAGTATTTAGAGCTCTGTTGTGCACACGTTCCAAAATTCGACAGTGCACCCTGAACTACCCAGATCTTCAATCCTTTGGGGTCGAAAAATTGAAAGCGAAGATGTCTGGAAAGACGAAAATGCCGACTGGATACATGAGTGAAACACCGAAAACATGAGTTAAATATAGATTCAGCCACTCTTCGACGCTTAATAGAGTTGATGCTTGGGGCGCTTGTTAGGAATTGATTAGCGCAAGCTCTTGGTTTTTCCGAAGGTTTTATTTGATAATGTACTCCTGTTTTATGGGCATGCTAAGTTTTGAAATTAGTTTACATCAGCAAGCCACTGTCTAGACAAAATCAGTGTTCGGAAAAAATTGCAGTTTGAATATGGCGATTTTTCTCAATATGACTTTTTGCTGTCGGATACATCTTCTTTATGTTGTTTGGTGGAGAGGAGTAACACGATGGTAGTGATGCCGAGGTAACGCAATGTGAAGAAAAAAAAATGTCCAGCAGATTTTTTAAATTTTGACTTTGTTATGAATGTTGTTATGGTTTTCTTAAGTTGGAGTTCATATGAACCAACTTATCACATTTAGACAGTTCAAAATCGGTTACCATCTTCAACTGAGCATCCAAATGAAGCTCCAGTAGTTCTGCATGCATCCAGTGAGCAATCTGATGCGACAATCATGATGGGAGCCCGAAAGTCTGGATCTCTGGACATCGAGAATCTTTCGGATGAGAACACCTCGAAAATTTCACACGTTAATACACATGTTGAGGTTGGTATCAGCGTTGTATCGCATTGTGTAACATTTCTTTACGTAGTTGATCTATGCGATTCGATTAGATCTGCTAATTTCCGCTACGTTGAAATACCATTAATGTCTATACCCCAAGTAGTCATTGTCTCGCAACCTCCCATAGAGCACCATTTACAGTAGAGACTACTATAATCGTTGCATTTATTGCATTCTAGCTTTATTTCTTATTGAACTCTGTAGGATTCTATGTTGAATCTAAATATGAGCGTTATGAAGTGGTTCAGGTTGTAGTGCATTAATTGTTTATTCAACCTCTGCGTCTCATTGATTCATCATGGTGAGTTTATGGCCAAATCGTAGTGGTTCAGTTTTTTAGTTTGTTCAGTACTGTTTTATGCATAACATGGTACGGTAGATTTCAGTGAAGTTTGTGGGATGAGGCTGTAAGCCTTCTGAAGAAATAAGTTGTCGGTTTTTTAAAGTAGGGAGTTACTTTTCTATCATCAAATGCATTTGTGGAATCCAGTGTAGTACCAATGCAGAGACTAGAAGTTGTGACCGTTTTTTCTCCTTAATTTGAAGGCGAAGAATTTTAGAATTTCCTTGTCACCCTTTTGAAACAGTAAACTTTGATGTTTTCTGTTGCATCCATTTTTTAATTCACTGTTTGATTTTCGCAGTTTTGGTTAATTTGTTTTATTGACTTGACAGTTATCCACGAATCTAAAATTTCCGAAGCGAATAGAAAAAGGAATAAATTTATCCATAGTTTTCTTCGAACTGAATCACAGCGAAATCTGCTAATACACTGAGCTCAGCTTATAGCTGAGGGCCAAGCGACTTGCTACAAGGTGCATAGTAGTGTGGTTTCTT